GGGAGCTTTAATTTTTATAAGTTATATGATAGGCTGGTATTTAATAAAATCAGCCAGGCTGGTGGTTAGTAAATCTCATATATATATATAGAAATGAATTACAATATACTAAAAGGTTATTTTAAACCTGATTTTTATTTTTAAAAAAAAACATTTTTTATTATTTAAAAATAACAATTAGCTTTAAAACAACCTTTAAATTATTCTTGCAAAAGTTATTCTATAAATATGTAGTTTAGAAATCCGTGAGAATCTCTTTAAAAAGCGGTTGTGTGCCAAATGGTACAAATTTCGTACCATAGAATTAAAAAAGAATTTTCCAATTGAAGATCTTTTAGGTGCAAACCCGCCCATATATAATTTTGAAAGAGATATTATTAACTATAACCCGTTAGAATGCTATATCTCACCAACCTACTAGCTAAATTTGGACATCCTAAAACTGTACTATAACCCTAAATGGTCATTTTAATATTTTTCTTTGAAATATGGAAATATGCTCGAGTATTAACTAATGTTGTAGTCAGTACAAAAGTAATATCGAGAAGTTCGAGAAGTTTCTAGGTAATGGACAAATACTGTTATCGTTATGGTTTGTTTGTACGTAGGCTATGTGAGACTGACGAATCCGCCCCATAGAACTTAATGGATCTATTTATAAAGATTATCATATAATGAAATAGCATACCGCAGTCATAACGATCTGCCTTTATTTCAATTTTTAGCTATCGTGCTCTGATTAAGAATTACAATTGGTGTTAATTTGTGTAACTACGGTAAAGATATGTAAGCTTATTATTATTAATAAGTTTTATAACGGATATTCGGATTACCCAAATTAATTAAAAATTGATAATGGCACAAGCTGTTCGGATGAGCTATATACATACATACGTTCGTGCGTACGTACGTACGTACGTACGATAAACGTAAAGTGTTGATTTGTAGATCTCCTAAGATTTGTACGCAGTGTTTAAAATCTATTTGCGGAATCTGATTGAAAATTCATTCTGCAAGCAAAAATTTCCAGAAATCTGCGGATTTTATCATGTGTCACACATGTTACACGCACTTTTTGAATCTTTATGCTTACAAGAATTACCAAGTTTTTCCGCATATTGAAATAAAATTGAATTTTAAACCTATATCTGAAGACGATTTGGAGATTAAACTTGATTTACAGTATGTCTCAAAAAATAGTATCTTAGTATTTTGAAGCATAACCAAACTTTGAAGATTGGCAGACTTAAAAAAAAAAAAATACCCGGCTGCATCTTCAATTTTTGTAAATATCCAGATACATCGATCAGTGTCTTACGGTAAACGGACATTGAGGTCATCTAAATTAAAATGATATTAATGATATTAATGTAATCAGTTAACGGATAAATAGATAAACACTAGTTTCATTATATGACGATTCTATTCGTAGGTAACATATCGTCCGGCATTTTAGACGTTAAATTATCATCATTGGTAAACAATTCCTATCGAAATATCCGATCACTACATCATGATCACAAGGTATTTAGTATATATACTCGGGTAGTAGTAGCAATATGATAACCTGGGTTCAATTCCAAATAGATAGTTTGTTTTTCTGTTTCAACGGTACAAAATATAAAAAAAAAATAAAATAAAAGCAAGATGGTAGTTTAATTTTGTAATGAACTACTGTATAACGACGATGCCTATTAATAATTGATTGATAATAGATTATGACTCTATGACATGTTATCGTTATGATGCCTAAGACCAATTAAAATCGCAAATTTTTTACACAAATCAGCCGACGAAGAAAAAATACAAGAAATGAGTATCTAAACCCACCCTGGTGCATTAAGTAAAAATGTCAGGAGGACGATTTACACAGTTCTGCAGCAAAATCCCGACATCCAAAATTTCGACAGGCCATGATACTGACAAAGTCTGACAACGATTGTCACGTCAGGATTATGGTTTTCGAGATCTTGGATGTCGGGATTTTGCGTTAGAACCGATTTAGATTTACACATCGTAATCTAAACTTGACTATACAGGCCCTAATCTTAATAGTAATTTCGTGATATACCAGGCTTTAAGCATCCCCTAAAATGGCAACATTGCGATGCAGTATCATAACATGATATACCGCTTTCGAACACATCCGGGTCACAAATAACCACATAAATAATAATTCTAGATATCTATACGTACTCTTGGCATTTCATAAAAGGCCCAAATATGAAATTTAATTATACCGGCATGTTATCCACATTAATGAAATAATACGCCCAAAATGGTATCAAATGTCTATTATCACATGCAAAAAATAACGTACTACTTAAATAAAAAAGGAGATATCGCTATATATATCCGTCGATTTTTACTATTTTAATTTTCGTAATAAAATTACTATGAGAATTGTAAACAAACAAATCGGATCTCCTATCTCTAATTCTGATACACGTAAGATTACGAATTGCTCGACATTTCACGTCGCAATCGTTATCAACTGCTGAATATAGCAAAGTATTAGAATTTCTGGTTTTGGATTTCCAAAGATCATGCACATCATGCATAATAATTAATTCTATTAGCTTTATTATTTCCTTCCTAATTCAGGGCTGAAAATTCATTGATGGAAAGGTCAAGGACCATGTATTACAATGAAAATCTCTGAAACATTAATGTTAAAAATATATATTTTTTTTTACGCAATGTAAATTATTATAACTTGTTCTTGAGAACTTTTTCTTTGAAAAATGCCCAGTTTTATTAAAAATAGTATCGTAATCTTTTCGCTTCTTACCGTATGTGTTACTTTGGTGTTTACCGGTAAATTGTTTAATAAAATTGTTAACATATGTATTAATATGATCTAGGCGTGATCCAATTTTGTTTATTGTTGACCACAAACATTCTTTTAATCAGATAATATAAATATCGACACTCCTACCGGAAACATATACATTGGAAGTTTAATTAAAATTAGTTGGCAGTTTTATGGTCAACCACCGATACGACCTTCTTCGTTAAAAATCAAAAATAGATCCACCGGTGATAGTACTGAAATCGATGATGACTTAGATATTCAATCTTCAAGTAAAATATGGAATGTTTCAGTACCAGAAGGCATTTATTATTTGTCCATAACTAGTGGTACAAATGAAGGAATTTCTGGTGATTTTATCGTTTCAAAAGACAAAAATTCACAAGGTAATCAATTTATTATTTATTATTATTGTTTTACCGAGTTACATAAACTTTCATTTAATGCTGATAGAAATTATACTTTTAATTCTTCCCATAATTGCAGAAAATTCTTCAAAAATAAGTGTCTTAGTTCTTATTGAAATTATTGCGGGCGGATGTGCTGTAGTTTTGTTTCCAATTTTTGTCGGAATTTATTTTCTTAGGGTGCGGTACAAAAAAGAACGCAATGAAGGTATCACCCAAAAAACAGACACTATAAATTCTATGAAAGAATTTGACGAAGAATATATTTTAACAAATGAAAAAAAACATGGCTTTGTTTTCACATAACCTATACAAATTACAATATACAACTTTTCAACTTTACATATAGTAGATAATTAATTATTTTAATTTTAAAAGTTCATATATTATTCGTTAATTCAGCATTCTGTATCATAAATTACTGTACTATAAATTAATTATTCAGGTCATTGTTTATTCAAACAAAATATCGTAAATGGCTGGATAAAAGACTCGGGTCTCTTACATTCCACCGATTTTAAAACCTACAATTAAACCCCGGGTATAGTGCATGGTTGAGAGTTTATATCATTAAAAGGAGAATTTTAAAGAACATGCATATTTTCATTTCTAACGGGCAGATTGGATATTTGAAAAAAAAACTATATTTTATTAATGCAGATTCCGTAATTGCATCCGGGTATAGTACATAGTGGATCTGATGTTGTGGAGGATCTTTTATCCAGCCATTTACGGTACTTAATATCTATTAGCATGGTATGTTCTTACATTGTATCTTAAAAATTTTTGATATTTAGTTTATATAATATGAATGTTCGCTAACTATAACATCAACTATCCCCAAGAACACCCCGAAAAATTTTGCGCTGCCAATCAAATTGCAAGATCAGGTGTAACGTGAAAAGTATGCACTTTTTTGAAAAATTGTTTGCTTGCCTATACAAGCGTCTTTCACGTTCTAATAAACCAAATTTCTTATCAAATTTTAGTATATACTATGCCCTATCTACCCTAACTCTAATCCTAAAGTTTAGGTTTTATTGCTTTAAATCTTTTATTTATTTGATTGTTTTAAATTTTATGTTTTTTGATATTACACATGATCTTGCAATCTGATTGGCTAAGTTGCAGAGTTTTTTAAAGTATTTTGGGGGTAGTTTAGTTAGTGAATATACCAAAATAGATATTAAAAATTGCATCTTTATAGTATAAAGATGTTGATTAGAAGTTTTTTTTTGATAATTTTGTTTTTATTTTATTATTAAAAACATATATTTATATATATATTTTTTATCTATTATTATTTGACTAATAAAAACTTATTTAGCAATATTGTCTTAATATAATTTATCAAATAGCTAATTTGGTTTATAATAGATTCTTAATTTATTAAATATTTATATTTTCTTAATTATAAATTGCTGCTAATCTTATTATGATATCTATTATTATTTATTTAATTTTATAATAATTAAATAGATTTTTTAGAATAGCTATAACTTTTAATCTACTAATTTATTATAAAAATATTCACTTTAATAAAAGAATTCTAACAAATTTAAAATTGTTATCTAATTACAAAATTTTAATTTTGTAATATTTTATTATTAATAAACTTTTTTCACTAATTTTTTATATACAAATTTACAAAAAATAAAATTACTAAAAAACTACAAAAAACACATAAAGACTACTAAGAAATCAGACTCATAGCTTTAAAAAAAAAGAAAGAAGACTATAAAAAATGTTTAGTTTTTAAGAGACTCAAGTAAGAAAAGCAAAAGTAGCAAAAATATAAAAGGAAATATGAAAAATTGTCAATAATTTTTGTGCTTTGCAAATTTTTGAAGAATTAGTCTTAATCCTATAATGCAGATCTGTTTAGATAACACAAGATCTACAATATGTAATAAAGAATAAACAAAGAAAATACATTAAAAACTATATAACAGATATAAACAAAGTTGATAAACAAACACAACAAATAACAATAGCAATAACAACCAAGAGTGATGAAAATAGCAATTTATATAGAACAAATATTAGCAAAATATTTTGGAAAAAACTTATTATAGAAGAAGAAGTTGAGGTATAAATAAAGAAACTTTGTAAAGAATTATGGAAATATAATATAGAAAAACTTAATTATATAAAATTTGTACAGTAGCCTACCATATTATTGTGAACACTTTTTAAAAATTTATATAGAGCTAAATATATAAACTATTAAACTAAAAATCAAATCATAAATTTTTTAAATCTATATCTTTTAAACAAAAAAAAGTTTAAAAAATTTTATGCTACAGTTTTTAAAATAATTAAGTTTAAGTAAAATTTTAAATTTTTACATTTGACCAGTTTTCTAAATTTTAATATAATTTAATAGTAACTAAAATTACTAAATATAGTAATATATAAACTTAATTTTTTTATTAATAAACTAGTAATTTTTTTAAATAAAGTTATTTGGTATAACAAATTATATATATTTTAAAAATTTTATAATTTTTAAAAAATATTTAGTAAATTTTTATATATAGTAATAAAATTACTATATTTGAAAATTTATTAATTTTAAATTAAATAATTTAATTGTTATATTAAAAATAATAACTAACTTAATATTTTTTTAAAAATTCAAAATTATATATAATTTGTTATGCTGAACAATTTTTACTTAATTTTGAAATTTAATTAACTTAATAAAAATTTAACTTTTACTATATAGTTATTATTTTAATTAATTTTGTGTAATAATAAAAACTGGTCAAATATAAAAATTTAAAATTTTACTTAAACTTAATTATTTTAAAAACTGTAGCATAAAATTTTTTAAATTTTTTTTTATTTAAAAGATATAGATTTAATGAATTTATAATTTAATTTTAGCTTAATATCTTTTATATTTAGCTCTTTATAATTTTTTAAAAAGTGTCCACAATAATATGATAGGCCACTATATTTAGAAAAAGAAATAACTGTGATTATCAAAGAGTAACAAAAGAAAAGAAGATCTAGTTAGATTTATTATATATAAAGAAATAAATAATATTATGGTTGACTTAGATATAGCTAATAGGATATAATAGATAATATATAATAGAGAAAAACAAGCTACTAAAATAAAATCAAAATTAAAATTAAATTAAAATAAGAGACTTTAAGAACAAAGAAAAAATCAACAAAAACAGTATAATAAAATAGTCTTAAAAACAATAGTATAACAATTTAAAAAATTCGTTAAAATATTTGTAGCAAACTAGTATGAGATAAAAAAAATCAAAGAAGAAAAAAGAAAAATATAAGTTTTATAAGAAAAAAACAAGCTGCTGAAATAAAGTTAAAAATTGCATTAGATTAGAATAAAAAACTTCAAAAACAAAGAAAAATTTGACAAAAATAATAAAATAAAACAATATTGTAGATACTATTACATCAATTTAAAGAATTTGTCAAAGTTATTACAGCAAACTAGTATAAAAAAAAAACCAAAAAAGAAAAAAGAATGAAAATTAAGAAGCAAAATACTAAAAGTCTTACAGAAGTAAAAATTCTAAACAAGATTCAAGAAAAAAACAAGACAAAAAATCTTATTAATAACTTTAGAAGAGAATATAAGTTATAATAGAAATTAAAACAAAAATCTATATAAAATTATAATAAAATAGATAATAGAAATAAATATATTTTAATATATTATTTGTTTATTTAAACTATAGTCAACTTTTTTTAAATAAAATTTATATATATATTATATAAATTTTTAAAAATCTTGTATTTTTAAAATATTGTATTTAAGGGTAGGTATACAAATTTCCAATTTCATATAAAATAGATTGTAGATCAACTTTGTGTAATAAATTTTATATGATATTATATGATTTACATATAAACATCATATGATTTGACCAATCAGAATTAGCAATTTCTTTGTACTATCTAAGAAAAACATATAGTGATCTAGAAAAATTTAATTATATATGAAGTTGGTTTTTTTTAAAGCAATGGATATTGCACAACTTCAATATCATAAATAAATTGTTTAAATTACATATTATATAAATTTTATACAAATTGGTTAAGATATTAAAAAGTTTTATTAGAAGCATTTTTTTATTTACTATATAAAAATCTAATATACTACGTAGATTATATGAAAAATAATCTATATACACTCTACCCTTAAAGAAATAAAAATCTATAAATATATATATAATATAGATATAGCAAGACTGTATATTTATAAAAATTTTTCATAAAATATGATTTAAGAAGATTGTATTTATAGAGATTTTACTATATAAATTTAATATTTTTAGCTATTTTTAAAAATATTTAAGAATAGTTTACTATATTAATTAAGAAATTATCTTATATCAAAAAGTTTTATTAAGCTAGCTAGCAAAACAATTATATTTTAATTTTAAATTATTATAAGTAAATTTATTTATATATTTAATTTTTTTGGTATTAAAATAAAGTCTTACTTGTATCTAATATTACAAATTAAACCAAAAAATATAATTAATTAATTAGATAAAGTTTTTAAATAATTAATTAAAATCAATTATATTAACTAATTATTTAATTTATTAATTAGTATAATTAACTAGCTAATTAATTAAATAGTCAATTAATTAATTATTCAACTGATTAATTAGTTAATTAATCAATGAGTTAATTAATTAATTAATCAATTAATTAGTAATTTGTTACTCACTTAGTGCATAATCATAGTATAATATAATACAGATTATTATATAAATTATATATATTTGTTCTTCTGAAAAACTCATGAATGCAGCCACCACCTCTAAAATTATGATGTCCTCCACTTCTTGTGAGCTATTTTTAAAGGAAAATGATGAAAGTGGACAGGTGGTCTAGTTTATTTACTGAAGAACCAAGATAATGATGGTCAGACCAAACGTACATAGCAGACTATGGAATCCTTTGCAGCTGTGAGAACCGAGCTTAAAATGGCGAGCGACCTTTCAGAAGAACTTCTATCCAAGTCATCATTAACATCATTAGACCCCTATAACTTGAAAATATACTATCCTTTAGATTGTAACACAGGCAAATTTGCCTGCATATTTTAAAATTTTTAATAAAATTTTAAATATTGATTTTAGCCATA